CAACACAAGAACGACAACAACAACAAAACTCTTTTCTTGTTCACCTTGTACGGCCGTTTCTCTGGGTTTTTCCCCCATCCCTCCTCCCCGGAAACGGAGGCGACGCCATCTTGAAGGCGTACGCCACCGGACACGGATGCGCCGCCATCTTGGGTGCGCACGCCACCGGAAACGGATGTGCCGCCATCTTGGATACGCGCGCCACCGGAAACGGATGGGCCGCCATCTTGGATGCGCACGCAAGTCCCCTCATGCCCTGTGCGCATGCTCAGTCACGTGACCAAACCGAAACCGGAAGTGACGTCACAGATCCTCTCGACCAATCAGAAGCCAGGAGCGGTACTGGACTGATGCTAACAACTACTTACAACTTCAAAAACACTAATAGTGTTAAACAATTGTGAAGTTTGTGGTGTGGATTTTGTTTAATGTTCAAAATATTGATATATTTCTTCCAGGAAAACTACGGTTTCGTACATCGTTCCTAGGAGTAAGCAAGGAAACATATACATGGGCCTGTAGGTCAGAACTTGGTATACACCGTTTTTAGTACCAATAATACAAATAATAAATTATGAGTGATATATAGATATCTCAACAAATGTCAATAGTAAGCATGCTTTGGAAGCAAATATCAATCTTTCTCTTTGGCTGGGTTAATACAGAACTCTTGAAATAATAAACACAAATAATTGTAATAAATCGATTGTACATAAACTTCAATCCGAATGTAAAGACATGTTAAAGCATTCATTGCGATATTATATTATATCGAACAGAAGAAAACAACATACAGGTTGGTTAAGTCATTATCTAAGCATTATCTTTGTAAAAGCAAAGCTCATGGGTCACATTTCTCAAAACTTAAATTAAAACTGATCGATATCCCCTACTCCCACCCCAACACCATTAGAAAAACATAATTGTACCACATGTAAATATAATCATATTTCCACATATACTTTAGTCATGAAAAAAAGTGGGGTACAATTTGTAAATTGAAAAACAAAATAACTGCGTTTTGTATTATGCAACTATGCATATTTATAATGTTGGTGTAGAATGTTAAATTGCCACTGTTACTTCAAGGAACTTTACGCAACAAATATCTCATCTTCTGTGTTTAGTTATCTATTTTTATGAACTAAACTGACGCCCAAAAGAAACTTTACCACTTTAAAACTGAAATTAAAAAAAATTAAAAAACATAAGTTCAAACTAAATCAATGCAAAATACCATTGTCAAAAGACACCCCTAGAACTTTTGGTTGCTCCCGTGTTGCTGTAACAAACCTGAAGCAACGTTACAGACAGACCGGACAGACATCAGACAGGCCAAGAACAGGCAGACCCAGGGTAACTCCGCCCACTGAAGACCGGTACTTGTGTATTTTTGCATCCCCGGAATCGATTTCTGACGGTGACGTCATCAGCGACGAATGCTTTACGGCACATGGTTAGTCGACAGACAGTGGCCAGGCGACTCAGGGACCAAGGAATTAGAGATTGCAGACCTTACAGAGTACAGTTCTTGACATCGCAACATCGTCGTCAGAGATTGAGATGGGCCCAGACTGTATGTCATTTGCAGCGACGTGACTGGCAGAGGGTCGTCTTCATTGATACAAGCCGGTTCTGTCTGTTCAGGGCTGATGGAAGACAAACGTGTTTACCGCAGGGGAGAACGAATGGTGGCATGTTGAGGGGGTGTTATGGTGTGGGGAGGAATTTGTGGGCAGAATACCACTTGTCATCGTTAACGGAAATGTGACAGCTAAGCGTTACATGGATGACATTTTGGTCCGATTGTCCTACCATTTCAACAACAGCTGCCACGTTGTGTCCTATAACACCATGACAACGCCAGACCCCCATACAGCCCGAATCGTACAGAACTTCCTTACAGCCAGCCACGTCAACGTGCTGCCGTGGCCGGAATCCCGAGACATGTCCCCAATGGGACACCTCTGGGATGTCATGGATTGTGTGTTCGACAGCGACCATATCCTCCAGCCAACAGACAAGAACTGATCAGGCTCTTCAAGAAAAATGGCGACGTATCCCACGTGGCTTCAGAAGACGGCTGACTTTTTCAGTGCGCCGGAGAGTTGTTTCGTGTCTTGTAACAGGAGTGGTCATACATGCTATTAATGTGACGTGTCATTGAAATTGGGCGATTTTAGATGTGTGTGCCGTTTGTCCATAACGTTGAAAGCTTGTTTTGCTATCCCACTTTAATTTGGGCAATATCGGATGCTCTATGACTGCCATTTTAAATGCTGATTTCGATCAGGTTTTTATCTTTTCAGCACATTTTACTTCATTCATCTGTCTTTGGTGTTTTTTAAACTAGAATGTTTTAAAACTATGGTAAAGGTTCTTTTGACCGTCACTTCAGATGTCAGCACAAACCACAACATAATGTCAAGTCTCGTTTCTCTGGAATGTCGGCTCCTGGGTGTTTTTTTACCATCTCTTATTCGAACGAATCCAGTCTCGCAAAGAAAGCAATTAAGAAAACACATGCACTATTTAGTGTCCTCTCCGTTTCCGCGGTGCCATATTGTCCATACATAAGGGACATCGTGTTAGAAGAACTGTCAGTAGTACTTTGATGTAGTACTATAGTCATAGTGATGTCAGCTGAGTGTGTTTTGTAATGTTGGTGTCAGTTGTAGTGTGTGTGGTAATGTTGATGTCAGTTATAGTGTGTGTTGTAATGTTGGTGACAGTTGTAGTGTGTGTTGTAATGTTGATGTCAGTTGTAGTGTGTGTGGTAATGTTGATGTCAGTTGAAGTGTGTGTTGTAATGTTGATGTCAGGTGTAGTGTGTGTTGTAATGTTGATGTCAGTTGTAGTGTGTGTGGTAATGTTGATGTCAGTTGTAGTGTGTGTTGTAATGTTGATGTCAGTTGTAGTGTGTATTGTAATGTTGATGTCAGTTGTAGTGTGTGTGGTAATGATCATGTCAGTTGTAGTGTGTGTTGTAATGTTGATGTCAGTTGTAGTGTGTATTGTAATGTTGATGTCAGTTGTAGTGTGTCGTAATGTTGATGTCAGTTGTAGTGTGTGTTGTAATGTTGATGTCAGTTGTAGTGTGTGTTGTAATGTTAATGTCAGTTGTAGTGTGTGTTGTAATGTTGATGTCAGTTGTAGTGTGTGTTGTAATGTTGATGTCAGTTATAGTGTGTGTTGTAATGTTGTTGTCAGTTGTAGTGTGTGTTGTAATGTTGATGTCAGTTGTAGTGTGTGTTGTAATGTTGATGTCAGTTATAGTGTGTGTGGTAATGTTGATGTCAGCTATAGTGTGTGTTGTAATGTTGATGTCAGTTGTAGTGTGTGTTGTAATGTTGATGTCCGTTGTAGTGTGTGTTGTAATGTTGATGTCAGGTGTGGTGTGTGTTGTAATGTTGATGTCAGTTGTAGTGTGTGTTGTAATGTTGATGTCAGTTATAGTGTGTGTTGTAATGTTGATGTCAGTTATAGTGTGTTGTAATGTTGATGTCAGTTGTAGTGTGTGTGGTAATGTTGATGTCAGTTGTAGTGTGTGTTGTAATGTTGATGTCAGTTGTAGTGTGTGTGGTAATGTTGATGTCAGCTATAGTATGTGTGGTAATGTTGATGTCAGTTGTAGTGTGTGTGGTAATGTTGATGTCAGTTGTAGTGTGTGTTGTAATGTTGATGTCCGTTGTAGTGTGTGTTGTAATGTTGATGTCAGGTGTGGTGTGTGTTGTAATGTTGATGTCAGTTGTAGTGTGTGTTGTAATGTTGATGTCAGTTATAGTGTGTGTTGTAATGTTGATGTCAGTTATAGTGTGTTGTAATGTTGATGTCAGTTGTAGTGTGTGTGGTAATGTTGATGTCAGTTGTAGTGTGTGTTGTAATGTTGATGTCAGTTGTAGTGTGTGTTGTAATGTTGATGTCAGCTATAGTATGTGTGGTAATGTTGATGTCAGTTGTAGTGTGTGTGGTAATGTTGATGTCAGTTGTAGTGTGTGTTGTAATGTTGATGTCAGTTGTAGTGTGTGTTGTAATGTTGTTGTCAGGTGTAGTGTGTGTTGTAATGTTGATGTCAGTTGTAGTGTGTGTTGTAATGTTGATGTCAGTTATAGTGTGTGTGGTAATGTTGATGTCAGCTATAGTGTGTGTGGTAATGTTGATGTCAGTTATAGTGTGTGTGGTAATGTTGATGTCAGTTATAGTGTGTGTGGTAATGTTGATGTCAGCTATAGTGTGTGTGGTAATGTTGATGTCAGTTGTAGTGTGTGTGGTAATATTGATGTCTGTGTGTTTGTGACCTAAGCAAACGAACACATGTCCACGTCACACGTGCACACAGTCCTGAAATATGTCGGTCCGCCAACCCGTCTGTCAGCTATCAGTAGGGGAATAGTATCAGTAACTCCCAGTGAGGTGGATCGTGTTATAATGAATATCTATCACGGGCTTTCATAAAACGGACAGGCAAGTTTCCACAAGGAACATTAGAATATAAACAAAAGCGACAAAACCCTTTCCATATTCATAAGAAATTTCTGCTACAAGAGTCCACTGTACGATTCCGACTATATAAAGAGCATCTGTTTATGAACAACTATCTTTTAGTGATGATACTAGGTTTTCGCGAAAAGAAACGTTTAAATCGTTTCGTTGTCACATACATGAATATAGCCTTCCGTCCTTTTAACAGCGTGAACTGGTAACAAGAGTTATGTAAGAGCATCTGAAAGACTACGGAGCTTGTGGAGGTGTTGTTTCCAACTAATTGTTTTCCCTGTCTTTCTGGCAGGGCAAGTATGTCGGGATGCCAGATTTTAGTGTTATTTACGACGATTGTTAACTGGTTTTAATCGTAAAACCTTACTAGATTCTTTAAAGAAAGTGTTTTTGCGTGTGTTTTTCTCAACAGATTCCCAAAACATCATTCATGTTTTTGCGGGTTTTACACTTTATGTTGTGTACATATAATATGCAGTGGAGGACGCGGTTCATCTGATGTGTCAAGCAGCAACGGTGTCCCCAGCACCTGTGTCGGGAGGAGGAGCAGCAACTGCGTCGGGAGGGGGAGCAGCAACTGTGTCGTGAGGGGGAGCAGCAACTGTGTCGGGAGGGGGAGCAGCAACTGTGTCCCCAGCACCTGTGTCGGGAGGGGGAGCAGCAACTGTGTCGGGAGGTGGAGCAGAAACTGTGTCCCCATCACCTGTGTCGTAAGGGGAAGCAGCAACTGTGTCCCCCATCTCCTGTGTCGGGAGGGGGAGCAGCAACTGTATACCCATCACCTGTGTCGGAAGGGGGAGCAGCAACTGTGTCCCCCATCTCCTGTGTCGTAAGGGGGAGCAGCAACTGTTTCCCCATCATCTGTGTCGGAAGGGGGAGCAGCAACTGTGTCGGGAGGGGGAGCAGCAACTGTGTCCCCATCACCTGTGTCTTAAGGGGGAGCAGCACCTGTGTCGTAAGGGGGAGCAGCAACTGTGTCCCCATCACCATTGTCGGGACGGGGAGCAGCAACTGTGTCCCAAAACCTGTGTCGGGAGGGGGAGCAGCACCTGTCTCGGGAGGGGGAGCAACAACTGTATCCCCATCACCTGTGTCGGAAGGGGGAGCAGCAACTGTGTCCGGAGGGGGAGCAGCAACTGTGTCGGGAGGGGGAGCAGCAACTGTGTCGGGAGGGGGAGCAGCAACTGTGTCGGGAGGGAGAGCAGCAACTGTGTCGTAAGGGGGAGCAGCACCTGTGTCGTAAGGGGGAGCAGCAACTGTGTCCACATCACCATTGTCGGGAGGGGGAGCAGCAACTGTGTCCCCATCACCATTGTCGGGAGGGGGAGCAGCAACTGTGTCCCCATCACCTGTGTCGGGAGGGGGAGCAGCAACTGTGTCCCCCATCACCTGTGTCGGGAGGGGGAGCAGCACCTGTGTCGGGAGGGGGAGAAGCAACTAGAGCAGTCTGGCAGTCAAACACTTACAACTTTCTCAGAACAAACAATAGAAGGATTCAGATAAAATATAAACGCAAACTTATCAATCGTTATTTTAAGGCCAGTGCAGATGATATGAGAATGCACGTCGGCCTTTATTCTTGATGTGACTCACATACATGACTGACCTGTGGCTCACGCTCAGATACCAAGAACCCATTGTTGTGGTTTTCGGATTGGAGGCCGTTGGGTTAACGCAACCTTGAGCAACATTTTAAGTGACATCACGGCGTCTCAATCTGATGTGTCGGTGTCATTCAGGTTTTACCATGTCAGAGTCATATAATGATCATCCCAATGGCACTAGTTCTCATGTACCACCATCTTCCCGAGGCAAGAGAGTTAACTGACTATAAAAGTCCAGTTTCCATCCTTGCCGAACTCGGCTGGTATTATGGAGTTACATTTTGGCTGGACTAACGAGTCTATGCATAGTCCAATCAAAATCGCGCAACGAAATCGAAATCGGGTTCGTAAACTGTCGTGCAGATTTCGGTCGATTGCAGGATTTCCAAAACATGCGCACTGCTAACTCGTTGTCAACAGATCTTTTCATGTTTTTAATCAAAGTGGGCGCATTATTTGATACACTTCGCGATGTAAGACCCGTTTTATCGCAAAATAGATCTTGATTATCGATCAGATCGTCTTGACTGGGCGCCGCCATTTTGTTTGAAACAGATGCAAATGATACGAGAGTTGGAATGTGATTGGTCCATAGGAGAGGCTTAGAAGGGACATAACTCGTAATAGCCACTCGTGACGCTACGATCGAGCCCGGGAATTCCAGCCTAGTTCGGCAAGGATGGAAACTGGACTTTTAAAGTCAGTTAACTCTCTTGCCTCGGGAAGATGATGTACCACATGCATGAATGAACACTTGTTTGACAGGCCAAGATTCGATTATGTATAAGAGAATGTCCGAAATCTCGCGATTATTTTTGCACATGAAGCTTGTCCGAGGCCGTTAGGCCGAGACGAGTTTCACGTGCGAAAATAATCGGAGATTGAGGACTTTCTCCCACTTAAAACAAAGTTCGATCAAGTTAATACCTCAAACTAATCTTCAAGTGATATTCACTATACTATGCTATACTATGGGAGGGTGACCGTTCTTGTTAAACTATGGGAGGGGAACCATTCAAGGAAAACTATGGGACGATTTAGTACCCATTCTCAAACTATTGGAGTGTTAGCAAAATGATTGCATCTATCCAACTGTCATAATTAAAGTTCACGTAACTTTGTTTTAATTACAGGTGAGGTGTGGTGAAATTGACTGATGCCGATTTATAGTGCTAGCCCACTGAGATACCATGCTGTAGTTTAACACGAATACCCCACTCAGACACAGTATACTGACTCCGAACTGACCAGGCCTTGTTTTAGCCCCTTAATGCCGAGCGCCAGACAGGGTAGCATCAAGTACCATCTTTTAACGTCATTTGGTATGAGGCGGCCGGGGATCGAACCCCGGACCTTCCGCTCTCCGGGCGGACGCTCTAGCACCAGACCACGGAGGCGGTCCGATTATTTACAGAACGTCGTTTAAAGATGGCATTGACTCTCTTATCTCGTGTTTCGTGCCTAGAATGTATAGAGATTGACCATATACAAATACACGATCAACACTTAGATTACTACACTCTCTAAACAGAGTAGGGAGATACACATGAGCAGTTGGAATGTCTTATACTTGGCGGACAGCAGAGTTGCATGACTTCTGTAAAAAAACGAATCCAACTGAAATGAGACTCTTCACTTTGACAAATTCCCGAAATTGCAAGCAATCCGCCGTCTGCTGCAGGACATGTCGACCTCGCCCCATATACCATGCTCAAATTACTCAGTAATAAAAAGATATAATTCTCTATTTGGAGAAAACTGCTCCAGTCTGTTTGAATCAAGTTCTGAGGGAAATGCGTGAAGTCGAAGACTTTTTCTCCTTAAACCCGCATCCCCAATCACCCTGCCCTCCGTCAACGGAATGGTGGCCTCCAACACAAGACTTCCTCCATTCCTTTGTAGCATCAACCGGACTCAACCATCCCACTGTAGCAACACCCGGACTCCACCATCCAACTGTAGCAACACCCGGTCTCCTCCATCCCACTGTAGCAACAGCCGGTCTTCTCCATCCCAGTGAAGCAGCACCCTGCCTCATCCATCCCACTGTAGCAACATCCGGTCTCAAACCATCCCACTGTAGCAACATCCGGTCCCCTCCATCCCACTGTAGCAACATCCGGTCTCCTCCATCCCACTGTAGCAGCATCCGGTCTCCTCCATCTCACTGTAGCAACATCCGGTCTCCTCCATCCCACTGTAGCAACACCAAAAGTCCCCCATCCCACTGCCCTCCACCATCCCACTGTAGCAACAACCGGTCTCCACCATCCCACTGTAGCAATACCCGGTCTCCTCCATTTCACTGTATCAACACCCAAAGTCCTCCATCCTACTGTAGCAACACCCGGCCTCTCCATCCAACTAAAGTAACACCCTTTCGTCATGACAGTTGGGTAAATGAGTGTGTTTATGTCTGACATGGCGGTAGAGTGAGTGAGGGTGTTGATCTGCGACATGACAATGAGGTGAGTGAGGGTGTTAATCAGTGACATGACAATGGGGTGAGTGAGTTTGTTGATCAGCGACATGACAATGGGGTGAGTGAGGGTGTTGATCAGCGATATGACAATGGGGTGAGTGAGGGTGTTGATCTGCGACATGACAATGAGGTGAGTGAGGATGCTGTTCTGCGAAATGGGGTGAGTGAGGGTGTTGACAGCGACAAGACAATGGGGTGAGTGTGGGTGTTGATCAGCGACATGACAATGGGGTGAGTGAGGATGCTGTTCTGAGAAATGGGGTAAGCAGGTCCAGCCTGTATTCCATCCGAGACTATGATAACATGCAGGCACATCAACACTCCAAACTTCCATCCTGCAGATTAGCACTCGTCCTCTCAGAAACCAGCACGTTCCTGGTGCATGTGGCCCTTGGTTGTCTCCTACCCATGTATCATCTACACTGTAACGTCCCTTCATCGTTTCAAAAGATAACTGACAGTGTGTGTACATTTCATGAAAACACACGGCAATTAAAGATGGCTGAGATAGGAAACTGACATGCTTCCCCTTGCAACCCAGGGAGTCTTGTTTCATTATATCACACTGGCGAAAAACAGAGTGAGTGAGTGTGTGTGTGAGTGAGTGTGTGTGTGTGTGTGTGAGTGAGTGAGTGAGTGAGTGAGTGAGTGAGTGAGTGAGTGAGTGAGTGAGTGAGTTACCGACCATAGTCATCTGTTTTTGTTTGTTTGTTGTTTAACGCCGCACTCAGCAATATTCCACGTATATGAAGGCGGTCTGTAAATAATCGAGTCTGGACCAGACAATCCAGTGATTGACATCATGAGCATCGATACACGCAATTGGGATACGATGACATGCATCTACCAAGTCAGCAAGCCTTACCACCCGATCCCGTTAGTCGCCTCTTACGGCAAGCATGGGTTGCTGAGGACCTAAAGCACATGTGCCTCACGAACGGTTAGTGATACGGGTGGCCCAGTCGTGGAAGGCACCGCTGTTCAGAGTGGGTGGGTAAGGGGAGTGAGTGAGTGAGTGAGTGAGTGAGTGAGTGAGTGAGTGCGTGAGTGAGTGAGTGAGTGAGTGAGTGAGTGAGTGAGTGAGTGAGTAAAGGTTTCGTGAGGTGTCAGCAATACAAGTTTATCACAGGATTTGGCCTAACATAATGTACTCATGTGGGGAATAGAAGTTGGACCTTCGGTGTGACGACCGAATGCATCAGGCCACCACCGATTGTCCACAGAGAAACTCGGATATATACATACTGATCAGATGAAGACAGATTTATTTCGGTTACCAGGCAACAGTTACATACACATCATGTTCATGACCGATGCCTCCTTATGATAGAGACCCGCGAAGATCCGGGTTAGAATTGGTCTCCAACAGCTCATGCTGACTAACGGGATCGGGTAGTCAGGCTTGGCTTGATTGATGCATGTCATCGTATCCCAATTGCGAGGATCGATGCTCATGATGTCAATTACTGGATTGTCCGGTCCAGATTCGATTATTTACAGACAGCTGTCATACAGCTGGAATATTCTGTGCGGCGTTACACAACAAACAAACAAGTTTATAATGCACCAGGACGAGCCACTCCGGAAACGGCCACGTGTTTTAGGACCAGAGAAAGAAAAATAGACACGGTCAAGGACGCCATTTACCCTCATCTCAGCTTCCCTGATGGATCGCATGTATTCAGTCTGAGACAATTCCCCTATCAGCTGCGCTGGTCCCGAGACGCGCGATACCGTAAACAATCTGAACAAACAGATAGCTTGATAAACCGGTGTGTTGCAGTTCACCCTGTCAGCCAGACACAGGACGGTGTTTATGTAAACCCCGCTCACAAACCACTCACACCAGGCCGGGTATCCTTCCCATCAAGGACGGAGTTCATCTCAGTTCGTCGCATACGGATAGTGCACCTGGTCCTGTAATAGTGAAACCCCGATAAACCGTCACCGTTCGCAGTGAAATTGTCCCCATTAAACGTATTTCCGAATTTACGAATCATTGGTAAAGAATATTTTTCTAGGTGTTGTATGAGGAGAGCTTGTCTAAAAGTGGGCCGGGCCAAGACGGGCCAACGTTATTATTCGCTAATTTCTCCATTAATTACGACCATACCAACATAATGAACATTAATGAACAATCACAAACAACAAACGTGCAGCATAATTAAGTTATTGCGAGTAAATCGCAGGCCCGGCCCGGCCCGACTTTTCTTGGCCGGATTTTTAGGCAATCCCGTATGATGACGTTTCTCACAGCAGCTGTTAGTATGGCAACAGGAACACCATACATTGTGTGAAGAGTTACGATTGATATGCGTATCGCAGTGTGGCATCAGTATTTAGGTGCATGTACGATATTGGTAAATACGCTACTAGGAAATTACGTTATACATTTATAGGGAAAATGGAACAACTGGACCCTACCACAGTTACCTAACGTATTGCCGCCCCGCGCCGTCATGGTCAATGTACGCCATGACACAACGCTTGCCTGGTCAGCCAAGGGTCATTTAAGACTTAGCGATTGGTCTATCAGCCCAGACTATCTCCATCAGCATCCATGTACCGGCCCATACATACAAGGAATTAACACAACACATTGGTTATACTCATATACGTTAAATAACGCTCCAGTCCATCTTCAAAGTACAACTTCTAAACAAATCAGGCTAGACTCGTCACAGAGTGAAAAAAACACCTGATTGCCATGGGCCTCAGTCAACTGGAAAGGCCCCACTTCTTTGCTAGTAGTACGGGTATCTTTTTAAGGTGATCGAGTCTTGACCTTTATTTTCACATGTCACAATACCTCAGCTTGATTCGTTAAAATACCGAAGCCAACGTGCCAGATTGAGCATCTCTCTATTGATTTTGTGACTCACTCCGGATTCTACAAATGAAAAGGTATCTTACCTCTCTGCTGATTCATTAAGTAATCAACGAAAATCGATAATGGATAATCGGAAACAATCCGATGATCAATGTGAAATGTCCTCTCTCTATCACTTCCCTTCTAACGCCAAGTTTCTGTCACGAACTTTATGTACAATGCAACGATATCTGTAAAACTATCAAAGGCCATGATATTTCTGGAATATTGCGGGGAAATTGCTAAAAGCGGCGTAAAACCAAAATGACTACAATTGTTACAATTTGGTTACAATTTTTTAATGTTTTTTAAAACTCAATTTAAGCATTTTAACCTTATAACAGTATACTCTTGAAACTTGGATTTGAAATTGCGATCCCCGTGTTCCTTGAGACGTCATGTGTACGTTACCTGTTGTGAGATATTCATTGTATGATACATGTGATATTGGCTGTGATACCCGTATTAAATACATCACCATCGAGTAACAATTTCTTGTATGTATCATTTTTGCCACCACCAAACAGGGGTGTATACTTCTTTTGTCCGGCAGTGTAGTATGTTCATGTGTCGAGAATAAGAGTGAGTGAGTATGGTTTTACTCCGCTTTTAGCAATAATCCAGCAATATCACGGCGGGCGACACCAGAAATGGGCTTCACACCTTGTACCCATGTCGGGAATCAAATGCGGGACTTCGGCGTGACGAGCGAACCCTTTAACCACTAGACCCCTTTAACCCCTTCTGATGGACTTCGCGAGGTAAGACCCGTTTAATTACAAGATCATCGAGCAGATCGTCTTGACTGGGCGCCGCCATTTTGTTTGAAGCAAATGCAAGTGATATGAGAGGTGGAACCTGATTGGCCAACAAGAGGGGAATTAGGAGGGACATAACTCGTAATAGCCACTGGTGGCGCTACGATCGAGCCCAAAACATCCAGCCTCGTTCGGCAAGGGTGGAAACTGGACTCTTAGAGTCGGGAAGATGGACAGTAGCGCACAAATAGCAAGCAGTTGACATAAAATGTCGGGAAACCGAACCAGACCTGGTTCCTAATGATCTCAGCACATCAAGTGACTTCAAGGTTATGGAAACTGCATAGGACAACCGGTGATGTGACAATGCAGCTGGCCCTGGAAGACGTATACGGAAGACCGTGGAGGTCGCAGGATGAGAATCTTTACATTAATGGATAGTTTCAGATGAGTTATGGCCTCTTGAAATGGAAGATTTGAAATGATTATCAATAAATAAGGGTTACAGGCATACTGTCTCTCATGACAATGTCTCTCTGTCAAAGATTATGGCTTTGCTCTCGAAGTACCCTGTATTGATGGGGATGGCCATATTGTTGTCGATACTTTTTATTGAGGCCTTTTTTTCAAGCAGATGGAGGCTGAGGTTTTTTTATTCACACAAAATTTTCAAGGAATGGAGAGTTACCCGGACATTCCCCTCTCTGTAATGTCCTGCTCCAGACAGGCAGACATAGACTACCCTGTCTATTTGCTCGACGACAGTTCGCCCCTATAAATCTTCCAGAACGAGGGGTCTCTGTTGCTGTAGTCAGTGTGATTAATTGCTGGTGTGTTTATAACTTAATTCAATTCCACCAGTCAACAAACAGAACTAACTACCTCATGTAAACACAGCCAGCCTGTAGGGGTTGTGTTTGTCGATTAGAACTTCCTGGCAGTGAGCAGAGTAACAGGGTCCAAGCGAAGGCCCGGCCTACGGTACTCTCATATCACAGACTCTAACCTAAACAGCCTAAGAAATATGTCATTACACAATATAATTCTCTCCTGTTATTTGTTGCGTGTGCTGATTTCATTGACATAGCTGGCTGGACCAGCTTCTTATAATCTAGATTGGTTTTGGTTTCATAAAATACATGACATTGTACATATCATGTAAAGTCATTGTTCATGACTAACACTAATCCTG